GCGACGCTGGTTGTGTTCCAACCCCAGGGCTGTGTGTATGCCAGGAATCCATTTCTCCTCCTGGGGTTAACCTCTTGCCCTCACCCCAGGCCATAGTCCCCCTGCTGGCAATTCTGGGTCTTAACCTTGGCCATGCCCTGCCCGTGTCTGCCCATGCTCAGCTGGGGTCTCAGCTCCCACCAGGTTCAGCTCTGACTCTGTTTCCGCGGGGAGAGCAGGATGGGGTTCATAAAAATATTACAAAAATGCCAATTTTCTCAAGGCTGTAGCTGGGGTTGGGGGAAGGAGGGAGTCAGAGCCATGGCGAGGACTAGGAGGAAATTCAGAGCCGGGGGTGGGAGGTGGTGGTGGTCAGAGCCATGATTGGCAGGCACCCAGCTGTCCCACACTGTGATTGGCTGCCATGGAGCTGCCCACATGTTCATTGGCTTACGCAAAGCCTGCCCATACTGAGATTGGCTGGCACAGAGCCCGCTTTTGCTCTGATTGGATGGGCAGGTCCTGGCAGCTATGCTGGGTGAGCAGCAGGCATTGGTGCTGGGTTTGGACTTTAGGAGAAAGGGGGCAAGTGAGGAGGAGGCCCAGGGGGAAGTCCCCCGCTACATGTAACCTGGGGGAGGGACCCGCCCTCCTGCTGCTACCACTAACCCAGGGCGGGGGGCTTGTGTGGTGAAGTAGAAGCTTTCTGTAGAATCTTTCTGAGTCCTATGTGTGCCTCAGTTTCCCTCTGTGTCCTGTACTGCTCTGCGCAGCATGGGAAGGGAAGGGTTGTGACTCAAGTAGCAGCCCGGCTGTAGACCAGCCTCATTAACCAAGGGAATAAAGGCTACACACCCGCAAGGAGGTTCTGGAGAGACCATGGAAACCCAAATGGATGGGGTGGATGTTCACACTGAGCGAGCGAGATTCCCCCCTCACGGCTCTGCAGCGGAGAGGCCCCCAGCTGAAGAACAGCAGCTGCGAGGGGTCAGGCTATCGGGCTAAGAGCCAGCTTTTGCGGGGGTTTCAGCAGCTATCACCTTGGCCTAAGAACAAAGGGACAGAGCCAGAGCCAGCCATGGGGCCCGTGATGTCTTGGCTGGCTCATTGCCCAGGCTTGGCCTGTGCTAACCTGAGGAGTCTGTAGACAGGTGACTGATGAACCACTACAGTGTTTTGCAAAGGCTGCCGGGGTCTCTGCCAACACACACCGCAGGGCCCGGTCCAAGCCTCCCGCAGGCATCTGGCTCAGCTGCATTCACTGCAGGGAGCCACGGAGAGAGATGGGGGGGCTGGTGTCAAAGGCCCAGTGGTGGAGGTCACGGGCCTGCCCCTGTGGAGCTGTGTGGAGCCTCGGTCCCTGGCCCAATACAGGGGTCACTCCCAGGGGACTGGTGACAAGCTGGGGTACAGCACATCCCTTGTGGATCTGTGAGTGCCTGCCCAGCCACTGAACTGCTGCCCCCTGATCTGGAGAAAGGGTCTGCCCCCAAACTGCTACCCCCTGACCAGGTGGAGGAGCCAGCCCTCCATGTACCCCTGACCCAGGGGATTGCACCCCAGCCCAATATGTGCCCCATCACCCAGGTGACTCTTAGGGACTTTGCCCTGCTCTCTGCCCAGCCCGAGTG